CAGCACAGTGATTGTCAACCGTCCACAATTCTTGTGTGGGGGGCTAGGACTGAAACAGAGAGGACGGGTTAAATGAGCAAAGGTTTTGTTAGGAGAAGTATCTGTGTGAAAGGAAATAAAGGGACTCAGAGAAGCCCAGGCAAGCCGTCAGAACGCGATGCGAGTCTGAGTGAAGGAGAAAGGGAGAAGGTTGGGTGGAGGAAGCGCCCTGGACAGCCGTACGGCCTGAGGGGAGTTCGGCAAAGCCACTGAGGGCTCCATGAGCCAAAGCTGGTCCATAAAGGGGTCCAGTGTTTCCAAGAACTGGTCTGCCTTGGTATCCCCATCACATTCAGTCTTAGGGCTTGGGAGTAAGGGCTTGCCCTAGGCCAATCCACTATGGCTGCAGGAGAGGGTCATATTATGAAAAACGGCCATAACCATACAGAAGATAGGATGAGGTAGTTTTCAGGTAAAGCAAAACAAAACAAGAGGCTGGGCAGACCAACACTATGTCTAGTCTACATACCTCTCATTCTTTGTTAAAGAGGCAGCCAGTCCACCAGGACTGCAACTCCCTCAAAATGTACACCTTGACCTTTGGTTTTAAAAGCCACATCCCAAAATGCTGAGTAGATCACAGGACACTCGCTCTGCTTGACCCCCAGAGAGGAAAGGCTACCCTAAGTCTCCTGAATTTGAACTTCTGATTTCCCAAAGCAAAGAGATATCAAAGTTGATACTGAGACATCTGAATTGCCCTCCGTAATTTCATGTGTCTCGAGGCCAAGCCAGCAAAATGGCCAGAGCACATCCTTTTTAACAGGTAAAGAGCTGCTGTCTGGGCCATCTCCTCAATCATCCACTGCTTTTCCCCCCTCACTCCCCCCCCCATTTTACCCTATTTTTAGGAGAAGGTCAGTGCTGAGGTAGGACCTTATGCTGTACAGTAAGTGCTGGACAGTATTTGCCCAGCATTTTGTTATTGGACACCAGGCTTTTCTTAGACTTGATGTTACACAGTACTTAACTTGTTCAGAGTGGGTGGAGATGGAAACATAGTCCATTGAAAATATCACCGCTTCCTCCCTGAAATGTAAAGAGCCTATTCTCATCCTTCTTTTAGATTCTGTCTCTCAGGCAAAAATCTCATAAAGATAGGCAGGGAGAAAAGGAGGGTTTATAATACCCACGGGGTTAGCTTTTGCTAACTGAATACTGTGCTATTATCCTCTATCAATAACCATACAAATGGGGCTCAGCTCACACTTGTGGTAAGGGAGGGCACATACCCCCCCTCCCCGGGCAAAGAAATTAGGCAAGTCGTTTAGCTTTGAGAAGCCTCATATGCCTTGAAGGTAAAATGGGCAAGATACTCGTAACCCATCCCCAAAAGAGCTATCAGAAATAAATAAGAAAATATGCTCAATTAACATACAATATAGTGTCCAGCACATTATAAAGGTCCAAATGATAGACTTGTTCTTCTTTTATTAGAATCATAAATTATTTTATTACCAGTTCTAGGTCCATCAGCTTGTTCCTAGGTGACCTCAAGCAATTTACTAAAGTTTAACAAGCCTCCCACCGTCAATGAGACTGAGGCAAATACCATCATCTCAGGAGGTGGTTTTGAGGGTTTGGTGAGATCACTGTGTAAAGTGAAGTGTCTGCAAATGTTAATCAAGATTATTATTATTGCCATTGTTATTAGCTCTCAGTGACCTTCTTAATCAAAAAGTGTGTCGCTAGCTTTCCTTTGGAATGCTAGGAGCTAGGAGGAGGGCCAAGAGGTAATAGGAGGATGCGAATGACCTTTTCTCTTCAGGACGTGTTCCAGCTTCATAAATATCTGTGTATAGCACACACTGTATAATAATGTATACTGCAAATTAAGCCTTTCTCAAACTTACCCCCTGAGGAGTGGGTTAACCCTTTCCTCAGAGAAAATACTTCCTCAACCAACGCTGGTGAGCTACCAGACCAACTTTTCAAAATAATCTTACCTTCCCTGGTGTCAATAGGAAACAGTATTTACTCACTACTGTTTTCCTTTCAAAAATCTGTCTAGTTGCATACTAGAAACAGCTTCAGCTGGTTTGTTTGTCTTGGACAAGCTGTTGAAGTGAAAAGTTTTTGCTTGGCTGAATGTGGGACAGTTTCATAACCCTTCAAGAAGTGCACTGAACATGAGTGCCAGCTCCGATGGCTGCTTCTGACACGCCCCCACTAGCTGCTCATTGTCAAGGGTGGCCAGCGTAATTAAATTAAGACAATGAGCAAAGCAACAGATGCAACTGAGACCAAATCCCTGAGTGCTTTTGTTTTGTCACTGTCATTGTCTGCAACAAAGAAGTCACATGTGAAAGCCTGGGAAGAGAGCCAAATACAAACCAGACAGCATCCCAGCTGGTTTTGAATGGCCTCCACCGAACGCGTGTGTGCCTGGGAACCATGCTACTTGGAGCAGCGCCAGCTTTCCTCAGATGGGCTTCTGCCCATGGCTTTGCTGAGATGCCGAGACAGACCCAGAAGAACTAGGCCGGATCCCTCTGTTCAGACTTTACACGTCACACCTCAGCTTTGAGACAAAAGAAGAAGCCTCTTTCTGTTGAGGAGAAGGATGAGACCTGTATGGTTGGCCAATCTAACCTCAGTTCTTTTTGCTACAGCCCTCATGAAATTGAAGAGTGAAGCATTGACGATACCTGAGTTTCTTTTTCTGGAAACCTGGAATTAATTTGGATTCAGAGGAAAACTAGAGAGTAAACAAGTCATATGGCTTTCTTTTCCTATGTTACCATCTCACTCTTGAGTATTTTCCTAGTTTGGGTATTTTCCATGGTCTGAAAAAATCTTCTTTTCTAAGTTGGTAGGCCTCTTAAACAGAAAAAAGTAAAATTCAAATTATCTTATTTTTAGTCCTGTTAATTAATTTGGTCAGTAGTTTGGTAGAGACGTGGTGTCCTTAATAATAGCTATTTTGGAGTTTTGCTGAGCCGCCTACCTAATCAGCAGGGTCTACTGAGAATTGAACAGAAACGTTTCAAGGAGTTTGAGATCATAGTGATCCTTACTCTGGGGCCCCATAGGTCTTTCTTCCATTTTACTGGAGAACGCTTTAAAAAGCAGAATAAGATGTAAGATTAAGAACACAAATTTACTGATGGTGTTAACAGTAGATGCAGCAACAAATGCATGTTAAATGGACTTGACAAAAGGTGTATAATATTTGGGGAGAAGTGCCAGGATTTCAACCAGATGGCATTTCAAGCTATCCTATACAAATGTCCAATTTCTTTCCACAAATTCTTTATCAGTGGCCACTGACCTAGATATTTTAGTAAACATGCCATCATCCTTCTATTGACCATCAACTTGTAAGGGCTAACTGGCTTTTATAAAGGACTTGGTGATTAACTCTATCATTCCAGGTAGAGCTGAAAAGCGTGTCTGTATAAGATAAGTACCAAATCGCTATGGGCCTTAGCCCGTAAGTATTATTTCCAGGGATTAGAAAGTAGTTGATTCTGCCCCAGCTTCTCACCCTGTCCAGGTGTCAGGTCCCAGTGATCTTCAAGGTCCCTTACAGTGATCTTGAAGCTCCCAACAATGATTGGGTGAGTGGTCATTACCATAGCCAGAACAAAGAATTTGGAGATTCTAGCCACCATGGTGAGAACTCTTGATTTTGGTCTTGATGGAAACATGTTCTGGGAAAAAGGGCCACTGTGGATCCTTCAACCTCATTCTGTACCAATAATTAAACATTACGTTCTCCTGTAAGGGCCTCCTGGCTAGAGATGAAGCCAAGGGAAGAAGCACCTTATGTTTATGCACGTAAATGCCACTTCCTCCTGGATTTCATCTCATATCGTCTTATTTGTCTAAATAAAGTTTGCTATTTAAATATATTCAATGATAAAATAATAACTACAAGCAAAGTATAATAACTTGATTCTGCACATTACCAGAGGCTCCGTTATACTCATTCATTCATTCACTCATTCATTCATTGACTTCACTCTACAGCTTCATACTGAGTACCTACAAAGTCCTGGGAACTATTCTAACCATACAGCTATAACAGTGAACAGACAGACACATCCCTACCATCACAGGGCTTCTATTTTAAGCAAAACTCAATACTCTTTGGATAAAAGCATTGCTTGTTGATGAGCGAATGGTAGCACCAAAGCGAAACCCAGGGTTTTTAGTCCATGAATGGCTACTTTCCAATAAAAATGAAATAATGATAATAAGAAGAGTGATATGATAATAATGATGATAATAACAATAATAATAATTATTAATTATTATTATATAGTTCTTACCATGTGCCAGACCTATTATAAATGCTTTTATGTACTTCTTCTTTACCCCTCAATCTTCCAAGGTAAAATCTATTATAACCCTAGTTGGTGGATGAAATTGAAGCTCAAGAGATTGTCACTTGCACAAGTTCACAGAGCTAGAAAATGGAAGAGCTAGGATTTGAGCCCAGCTCAGTATGTCCATGATTTTACAGATTCAAAATCAATTAGAAAATGTCCCAATCTTCTACTTCTAAAATTCTGCCTTTCTTCAAAGGGGAAAAAGAAAAAAATGAAAAAGAAATATCCTCTTTTTACAAAAATTAAAATAGAACAAAATGCAATGAAACAACAGAGAGTGATGTGAGAGTGTGATTTTTTTTTTTTGCTCTCTCTCTAAGAAAAGATGCTACAGGTCAGAAGACTGGAATTTCAGATCTCCAGTCTATCAATGAATCTGTGATAGCAGCAGATACATAGAAACACATGTTTGTGTGGTTGTAAAGCAACCTGTGGCCCCCATGCCACTGGGGCACATAGAAGTAGCTTGAGTGAGGTTTGCCTAAACTAAAAGTAAAGGCCCAACTCTCTATTCGATTGGCTGGCGAGGCACAAGATAGGACAGGTTGCGACCCAATGTTAGAAACAGATGGGCAGGATGCATAATACTTCACCAAGTTAATGTCACTTTTTCTCCCTTATTTTTAGGAAGTACATTTGAAGAACACAAGTAGAGGGGGTGCAGGAAATAAGAACTATAGAATGTAGGAAGAAGACCTTCCTGAAGAGTGAAGAATGACGTGCCCCTGGCCGGATCCTTTGCTCTGCACGAGTTACCTGTTAAACACCAGAAGACCTACCAAAAATTAAGTTTGATAACATTTCAAAAGATGGGCATTCTTCCCAATGAAATACGCAAGTAAAAATTTCAACATTGTCTTTAGGAGTGATTGTTAAAAGCTTTGCACCTTGCAAAAATGGTCCTGGAGTTGGTAGATTGCTATTGATCCTTTATCAATAATGTTCTATAGAGAAAAAAAATATATATATCTATATATATATCTTAGTCCCTGCCTCTCAGAGCCGCAAATGCATGGATATTGTCTAGATCCAGTTGCACTAAATTTGTCTCTGAATCTTGGCTGCTGGAGCCATTCACTCAGCAGCCGTGTCTAAGTGGTTTATTAATTTTTTTTTATTTGCACTTCTTTCTACGCAACACAGGCTGTTTGTTTTACAGTGTCTGATAATCTTGTTTGTCTGTCTCCACCCTCCCTCCCCCAGTCATCTTTACATTTGCTGAATTTGGCCTCCTCAGTAGCAGCAGCAAGCAGTCAAGTAGCACACCCATTTTGAATCCACAAGATTCCATCTGTGGCGTTAGTACCAAATATAAGTTGAATGCATGTATTGTAGACACAAAGCTTTATTTTTCCACATCTTGCTAAAAAAAAAAAAGCAAATAGTTGCAACTTTGAGGCCAAACATTGTTTAGGTGTATGTTTTAAGCATAGAAAGTCTCAAACTCTCAGCAGTTCCTTCAAATGATGAGTTAGTGTGCAACCTGATTAGTAACTTCTCCCTTTTAATTTTTTTCCATATAGAGCACTATGTAAATTTAGCATATCAACAATGCAGGATATATCACACAGTATGTAAAACTCTCTGTTTTTTAGAACAATGGTGCTATTTTGTAGTTTGTTATAGGAAAGAGTCTGGCCAAAACGATAAAAGGTGAAAGCAAAACAAAAGAGGAAGCCTGGAGCCAAAGATGACACAGAGGGGAAGGGGACTAAAAATCCATCCATTTGGGAAAGAAGGCCAAATTCCCCCGAGCATGCCTTCCAAGAGAAACTGAAAGGCACAAAGTCCACCAATGCAAATTTGACGAGTCCAGAGAGGAGTGGAACAAGCAGAAGGCTAGGAATTTCACAGCCCTGGTTTCTTTTTCTCACGGAAGAAACAAACATCTGCCGTGACTCAGGCACGGACTCACCACTTTGTGACCTTGGGCAAGTCACTTCACCTCTCTGTGCCTCAGTTTCCTCATCTGCAAAATGGGGGCAATATGCCATCTACCTACCTCACAGGGGTGGTATTAGGATTCAAAAGATACAGCTTCAGGCTTTTATCCTTGGTTGCTATGAGGGTGCAAGGTCAGAGCCCTTGAGTTGCTGGGATACAAGCAATTCTATAAACAACCCATTCATAGCAGAGCTAGAAAATGGATTGGCCAAACATCCCTGACATGCCAATTCTTGTAAATGAAGCTATCCAACTAGGTATCCAGCTAACTAGTTAAAAGCTCACATCTTGATCTCTTTTAAAACACTTTTCTAAATAAGTTAGAAACATTTGATTTACATTTTGAGTTCTGCACTTGGTTCTATGAATACAAAGTGAAAGAGAGAAAGGAAAAGAAAAAGAGAAAAAAGCAAAAAGATTTCTGTAACACAAGGGTGATTACTCAATTTGTCAGAACTTGTTAGCACTTATGATGTCACCCCCTTCCACACACACAGGCAGTTACTAGTAATCTACTAATACTTCTTTTAATATTATAAATGATACTCTATTCATTTTGAAAAACACAGTTATTCCTTCTCTTTATGCAATCTAAAAAAATGTGGCCCAAACTTTCCAAAATTGAAATAATATCTAATAAAAAGTTGCAAAGTTACTTTAATAAATTTTGCTCTTATCCTTGGCTGTATATACATACACATATATATTTTTAATTTTTTTTGTTAAAATATGCTTGATGAGAGTTGCTAGTTGAGAGGCAAAAATTTCCTTCACAGCTAGAAATTTTCCCTCTTGTCTGCTTAGAAAACTGTCCCTTAGCCCTCTATGGATGTGTCTTATCCATTCAACTTAAAATTGGTATCAAGAAAACCCAATGGCGAGGACAGGCCCATGCTGGCCTGGGAAATGCCTCTTGTCTATACACCAAGATTTTCTTATTAAGACAATGAACCATCCACCATTCAGAGCTTTTTATCTGCCTTAGAACTTTTTGGTGAAAAGCAACCAGGCTTGATTATTTCATGCATATTATATCCCTTTTATTCATGGAAAGTATATATGGAAAACAAAAATAACATCCTTAGTTTTCATCCCATTGGTTCACTGCAAGGTTCTGGGGCCGGGGGGGGAAAGACTTTCTGAATCTCGGAATATATGCAAAAAAAGGGGGTGATATTTAGTGGGTGCCCCTGCTCAGCCAAAAAGTATTTTAAGCCTCAGCCTACAGTGACTTGAGTGGAGTACCTCTGGCATGCTAAGCAATGTTCTGATCACCATGGACAGATGTAAAAGAAACAATAAGTCGTTTTTGCCCTTCATCTGTTTTCCAGATGTAAGGGTTCTGTGGAGTGAGGCGCTGGACCCCTCTTCCCAAAATGGCACTTCTGATTTTTATTTCTCATTCCTAATGTGTGCCTTTTAAAATTACTGACTCCTAGAAACACTTCTCATGCAATCTTCTGCAGACCTACAGATTTCTAGACCTACTTGAATATGGTAACTCTAAGAGTGTGACTTATTTGATTGACTTAATAATTCTATTCACAGCCAAAAATGCCCCAGTGAGGAAAGTTCAAATAGGCGAAGACATATTATCTTTTTTAACTTTTTCCAACACATGATACTCTCCAACTGTGTCATAAATCAACAAATTAAAAATCAATTAATTATACTAACCCACTATTTTATTTTCAAATAAATTAAAACTAAAAGATAATTTGATGTAAACTCCAAAAGTCAGTTGATCCCATATACTACAGCAGAATGACCCAGGATTAATAGAAGCGAGCACCTAAAATTTCACAATTCAAAACTTTATAAGCTTTGCTTTAGAATTTTATAAGGAGGCGATTTCAAGAAGTTAATGAAAGAGCCTTAAATATTGGTAAGAATGAGCTTCCAACTGATAGAATTATTTCCAATTGAATTGACAGTACTGAATTACTTAGGTCAAATTTCTGTTCTCACTTTCCCAGATAGTGTAATAGTATTATTTGAACATTTTAAGATGAGGAGGCCCCACTGAAAAGGCTAAAGCATCTTGCCATCAGAATCCACTCTTCTAGATAGAGCTAAAGAAAAACTCCCCCGACATGCACCCTACACACACACACACACACACACACACACACACACACAAACATCCTTAGAACAAATGGAACACTGAAAAACAAAAAAATCACTTCCTTGAAAAATCTTATTAAAAAAAAAAAAGAGCCTAGCCTCCCTGAGAATCCTTCCTCATCTGGGAATGTCAATGTGCAGATAAAACCATCTCATGCATTGTGGCTCTAGGGTTTCTGTTACAAGTTTATGCACTTGGGAGAAGGCTTAAATGGAAGATGTAGCACATTTTGCTTTCCCATTTATTGTTTGGCCAACTATGCCAATGTGGTGCTATTGTTTCTTTAAGAAAGTACTTGACTAAAAAAAAAAAAAGGAAAAAAGAAAAAAAAAAGAAAGCATAGACGTATTTTTTTAAAGTATAAAAACAACAATTCTATAGGTAGATGGCTTAATCAAGTAGCATTAGGTTGAGTCACCAACACCTTTCAACTTTTTATCACTCACAAGCAGCGGACTGCTCACCAAATTGTGAGTTTGGGGGTGCAGGGGCAGAAGATGGAAATTTTTTTTTTAAAGCAGAAGACTCCATTATTTTGTTGGCTCTCAAACTCATCAAAATTAGCAATTTGTTACCCAAGCTAAACACCTTGATCAAGAGCATGGAATATGAATGGAGGGGAAAAAGACCTTATAGGCAAATGGCAGAACCAAAATAATTAAGTTACGTAGTGATTTTGTGTGTGTGTGTGTGCTCTCTGCTCTAAAACTGATATTCAGCCAGTGGAGAAAATAAAAACAAAGACAAAAAAATGCATAGATTCACCTGCTAAAAATAGCTTCTGCCACATCCCCCTTGAGTAAATCTTTGGCATTTACTGGTTTATGAAAGATATTCTCCCTTCATTTAAACATCTCAAAGAACAATAGCTCCCATGAAAAGCAATCACTGATCTCATTAGGAAGTGTTGGGAAGTATTTCCTTATGAGATGGGGGTTATCTACTGATAAGGAAAGAGAAGAATTTATGAAAAATTGTTGAAAGAGATGGCTAACAATCTGTGAAGATTTTTTTGTTTTTGTTTTTTACTTTATACAGTCTTTATGAATATCTTTAATGTTCAAAAATTACTTGGTTCTTTCTTCTTTTTTTTATATTGGAATGAGGGATGGTAAGTTAAACCCACATAGACTCTTTAAAACTATAGGCTAGATAGACATGTATGTTTGACTTATTGAAACTATAATCAGACTATTTAAAATGTTTTTGCTATTTTTAATCTTAAAAGATTGTACTAATTTATTAGAGGCAGATCCTGTTTGGCTCTCTTCATAAGAAAGAGCTTTTCCCACTCAAATCACCTGGGCTTTCCCATCAATGTTTTCAAAAGATAAATCTGACTTATGCATCATTATGGCATCATTTATTTTAAAAAATTTTTTAAATAGAGGAATTGTGATTCTTTACACCCATCTCCTGCAATGATCATAAAGTCCAGAATCTGAGGGGGGCAAAAACAAGAAGAAATTTTTGTTGGTTTTTTGTTTTTGGTTTGTTTGTTTGTTTTCAATGCTAGTGTTTAATCCTATAGTACATATTTGCTTATCACTATTTTAATATTCTAAAAGACTTTCCTGTTAGGTATTAGAAGCTGATACATAGTATCTTTTTTGTGTGATTTCTATTTAAAAATAAAAAGAGATGAGAAAACTGTCTGAAGCTTTAAGTGCGTATGGTACAAGATAAAGATATCAATTTAAATAGCCAATTCTTATCTGGAAAAATACCTTTTTAAGGAAACTTCTCATACATAAGACAGAGGCCCAGGAAATTTTTAAAACTGTCTTTATTCTTCCCAGTCCTTATTCATTTAGAATCTGCCTCAAAATTTTATAGAGGGCAGACCAAACTGAAGCCCTAGAATTAAAGGGACTTCTTTAAAAACATGTATTTCACATGTTCCCTCTTAAGTTATGATTACACATTGATCTTAAACATGGTCCCTCTTTTTCCCCATTCTTCAACTGTCATCGATAAGGTTTTTCAAGGAAAAAGGACAAACAAACATTTTTTTTTTTAATTAGAAAGGGCGAACACAAAAGTCCAAATGTTACTGCCCAGTTGAAATGTGAGTTAAGATGGAGATAGTTTCTCCTACTTAATCCTTGCCGAATCACCTTCAAAATGTCTTTTCCCAATCCTTTAGAATCTGCCCTTTTTTTGAATTGCCCAGGCCAACTGTATCCTAAAAGTAAACCTTACTCGCTTTCTTTTGCCCAAAATGCACTGGCATAAAAATAGGAAAAAATGAAAACAGGACTACAAATTCCTTCCAAGCCACCCACTGGCCCCATTCATCCACCCATGGCAAAGCCACTTCTGTTAATCCCTTAATCTGATTTTGTTTGGATATTTATCTTGTACCTGCTGCTAAACACACTGCAGGAGGGACTCTGAAACCTCAAGCTGTCTATTCACATCTCTTATCTGTGTCTGTGTATCATTAAAATGTCTATTCAAAATATCAAACCCTTTCAAACATTATGCAGCTTGTATTCAGTTTACATAAGGGGCCCAAATACCATGTAAGATCTCTCTTTGCTAAGAGAGTTAATAAACTATGAGAAATGGGATTACATCATGTGTTTTGCTTCATATGTTTTTATCACACTTATAGGCCAAGTGTGATAAATAAACTTTACAGACACTGAATTAATTTTCCCTGCTACTTTGAAACCAGAAAATAATGATTGGTCGTTCATTATATCTGTCTTGTTCAAAAGCATATTTTTTATTAAATTAACTCTGATTGTATTTGAAATTATTGTTCATTTATGGCAGAGGAATATCAATCGTAATGACTTCTAAAAATGTAACTAACTGAATCATTATCTTACATTTACTGTTTAATAAGCATATTTTGAAAATGTATGGCTAGAGCGTCATAATAAAATGATATATCTTTCTTTAGTAATTACATTAAAATTGATCATGTTTGATTAATTAGCTCTTTTGGACAATGTTGGTGTAATGTGTCATTCCTTAAGAATTCTATTGTTATGTAACATTTTTATTAATTAAGGTCATTGCAACAAATAAACATAAAAAGTTACCCAGAAAAATAAAACTAATCATACACCAAAATGAAGATATCTTATAGAATTTACAGATTATATTTTAAAATAAATGTGTTTCAAAGAGCTTGGACAAACTATCTAAGAGATGTATGAATTATACAATGCATTCATTAATAATAAAGCAGGTTTAAATAACTGACCCCACTCACGTAACCCAACAGTGAGTTACAATCCATGACACAAAGCATTTGGGAAAAGATTTTCTATGACATAGGGTACATGATATACAAGTGACTTCTCACACACTCATATTGAGAGATTTTATAACAATGTGATCTCTCAATAAGTCTTTTTCATTCTTTACCGAATAGCTAACTCAGTAAATATCAAACTCAGGGCAGCATTTGTTGAAGACAAGGTGGAAAGATTGGTAATTTCCTTCTTGTTGAAAAGCATCTCATTTCATTTTCCTTTTCTTCAGCCCTCCATGGAAAGTTACCTACATGTAAAAAGGCTCATGAGCTTTGTGCTTGATTCTCAGGAACTAACAATAATACTGAAGTTTCCTTATTATTTTCCCACGTGCCGCTCACCATCATTCCTAATTTCCCTCCCTCCAAGTTTCCATGGCTCTCCCGAGGAGTCACATTCCCAGGGCCTCCTGGTCCCGTCGTCGGCACTCAGCACCTTGCCTCCTGTGGCTCTGAGCTTGCACCTGCACTGCTTCCCTCCACCCTGGACAATACTTTTCCCACTTCCCTTTTGGTCCACTCTAGGCTCATCTGGATATGGCCTTTCACTAAAGGTTTTGTGGATAATGAAGCTGGAAGGCAGTTAAACACAGGGCGCAAAATGGCTGCCTGCCGATGTGAAACATCACGGTTACTAAACTCCACTGAGGAATCTCTGGCTGCTCATTTGCGACCTGTCATCTTAATAAGATCCCTTCCTCTCTTCTGCAAACTCTCCCAGGAATTACTTC